CTTTTTCAAAAAATATTATATATTAAATATTATTTAAAAACCTCTCCCCCAAAAATGCGCCTGACCCGCAAGACTACTATAAATTTCAGCACAAATTAGGCAAACTTGTAAAAGAGTGTGGGGTGAGTGGGGGAGATTATTAATGATTATATATTAAATTAAATTTATTTTAAAATTAGAAAAAAAAATTTTAAAAATTAGTAAGGGGAAACTAATTGTATTAATTTTATATTAGTCATTTTATTTTAAAAAATTTAGAAAATAATTTTTTTAACTAATTAAAAAATTAATTTATTTTAATAAAGCTACAGAAGAATTAATTTTGGTAAAGGATTAAATTTACTACAAAATTAATAAAATTAGAAATATTTAAAAAAATTGTTTAAAAAAAGTTGCAATCAAAAAAGAGACATTTTACAATAAAAATCAAAGGTTTTAGCCAGTCTTTTGACCATAAAATTTTTCTACAGTAACCCAAAATTTTATTTTACAAATCGTTTTGTAGCAAATTCAATTCTCTATCGAATGATAACAAGAACATTCAAGAAGGTTTCAAAATTACTGAGTTATAGTAGAAAACTGAAGCATGGTCTGTGTATATGAATAGAGGTAGCTTTTATTCTCCAAAAAAGAAAAAATAAATATTTTTGCTGATATTTTTAATTTTATTTTTCGTAAAATAATAATTTGATAAAACGTCAAAATTTTAAAAATTACGAGAAAAGAGAAAAATTAAAAAAAAAGGTAGAGGAAGTAAGAGGAGTATGGATCAACATCATTTTATTTTTCAGCAAAAATAAATAAAATAAAATTTCTCTTCCTTTTTAATTTTTTTCAATTCTTTCAAAAATTAGTAGAGATAACAACACTCTTTTTAAATTAAAAAAAATTAAATAAAAATAAATATTTCAACAACCACACACACACACAAATTTGTGTTGTTTTTGGGGGATGGAGGGGGGTTTTATTTTTAATTTTTTTTCTTATCAGAAAAATTATTTTTATTTTAAAAAATTAAAACGGAGAATTTAGGGCACAGCAATAACAACAGAAAATAAATTTAAAAGAAAGGCATAAATAAAGAATTAAAAATAAAGTTAGAGAAAATTGGGTAAAGAGATAATTAAAAAAAATTTGTAAAAATTAAATTGAAAGGAAAAAATATATTTATAATTCTTCTTAATTAATTTAAAAAAATTAATTAAGAAAAGCAAACAAAAATAAATTTAAAAATATGGAGAGATTATTTAAAGTCTGCCAATAAAAGTCCGATCGGCTCGAGTTTTAGAAAAAATTTTTTCGGGTCGGGTTTCGCGTCGGGAAAAGGGTTCGGATTTCTAGTTCGTGTAACCCGCGAACTCACTAGTGTGAATTTTGGTAGATTCGAATTTTCGTTTTTTTCCTTTCCAAAATTTCGAAATAAATATCCAAAAATTATTTTAAGAGGTAAAATAGGAATATTAAAAAATAAAAAAAAATTTTTTTTAACAAGAATAATTTTACAAAATAATTTTAGGGCCGAAAGGACAGTTTATAAAATTATAAAAAAAATTTTTTTAATTAAAAAATAAGAGCAAAAAAATAAAATTTAATTTAATAAAATATGAGATGTTGTTTATTAATGCCATTAACACAAAGGAGCAGAAAATTGAGAGGACAAAAAAAATAATTTAAAAATTAAAAAAAATATTTTTTCCCATCTTCTAGTACAAAAAAACAAAAGCGCAAAAATAGCCAACAAAAAATTGAAAAAAATTTTTTTTTCAATTTTTTTTCTCCTCCTATTTTTGTGTGCCATTGACAGAGAGTTGCCTGCGCCTTCTCCTCTCCCCTCCCCTTCCCCTCCCTTTAAAAAATTTAATTAAATTCAATGAAAACCCCTCTATTCTCCCTTTCTCTCCCTCCTCCTACCCCCTCCCTATTTTTGCTGTCAAAACTGCTAACTATTTTTTTCTATTTTTTTTCTATTTTTTTCTTATAGTAGAGGAAGGGGTTTTTTAATAGGAAAAAAAAATTTGAAAAAAAAATTAATTTTTGCATTTGGAAAAATTTTTGCAAAAAAATTAAATAAATAATAGAGGGGAAAAATGTCTTTTTTTAACTTCAAAAAAATAATTTTTGAAAAATAATTATTTTTAGTTTAAAAAAATATTAAACAGGATTGGCTATTTAAAATAAATATTAGAAAGATAATTTAATTTCTCAAAAAATTATTATTTTTTTTTTGATAAAAATTTTGTAAATTGAAAAAAAACAGAGGTGTGGAAAAATTAGTAGTTGTTGTTGTTATTATTTTTTTAGAATTAATAAAGTAGTTTAATAGCTATAAAGTAGTCTTATTGGACTACATAAGCAAAGCTTTCAAAAAATTTTTTTCAGTATTAAAAAAATTTTTTTTAAATGACCTTTAGAAGGTGAAGAGAATCACTAGGAAATTTTAAACATTTTTTGAAAAAAATTGTTTTAGCCATAAAACTAAATACAGGATAAGAGAAGGGAAATTAATCACACGAAAAACACCATTTAAAAAATTAAAAAATTAATCCCCCCTATTTTAAGAAATAAATTTTGAATTAAAAACGATATATAGGTAAATCCTGGTTTCCATAATAAAAATTTCAAAAAATTAAAAAAAAATTTCTCTGAGAAAAAAAAATTTTTTTTCAAAGAAAAATATAGTAGTAGAATAATGCTTAAACTTAAGTGCACAAAATTACTCAAAAAATTAAGGTAAAAAAATTTTTTTTGAAAAGTAATGAATCAAAAAAAGTATAAAAATGTTTTTGTCTATTTTTAAATGTCCAAAAAAAATTTTTTATATTTAAAAAGAGCAAGAATGAAACGTAAAAAATATTTTTTTTAAAAAAGGGCACAAAGTCGCTTTTCATCTTCCTCCTATACTTAGCCAACTGCTGCTGACTTGCCTCAAAAATTTTTTTTATTTTTTTCCTTTCCAAATTGTTTTTCATTGACGAGAAATTAAAAGTGAAAATGAAAAAAAAAATAAAGGGGAGAGTAGACAAAAATATTTAAAAAAAAGAGAGGGTGTTGATTGGTCACCATGGGGGAAAGGAACGAAAATTTTGGGGGGGGGGGAAGAGGGTAGGGCGAAGGGAACAAGGGAGTGATGAGAGAAGGGACGAGAGAAGGGAAGAAAAGTCCGGCCAAAAATTTTTGGACAGAAAAAACATTGAGAAAGAAGTCGAGAGAGCCGAGGAAGCTTAAAGGTAGGGAAGGCGATTGCTGCCAGCCGGTGTAAACCTTAAAAAATTTATTAATTAAAAAATTTTTATACAAAACACAGGCAAAGAGGTAAAATCAGGCAAACTAAGAATTTAAAAAATTGAAGAGAAATTTTAAAAAAACTATTAAAAATGAGCTAAAAAAGAATTAATAAAGTATGTAGAAGGAGAAAAGTTTTCTTGATGAGAAAAAATTTTTTTTTAATTTTTTTGACTGATTACAAAAAAGGAGCAAAAAGAGGAGCAAGTAGAAAAAAATGGAAGGAAAAATAAATTAATTTAAAAAAAAAAAGAAAAATTAAATGGAATTAAAATTAAGAAGAGAAGGATGGAGGCAAAGGAAATTAAAATTAAAAAAAAAGAATTTTAAAAAAGGGGTTTAAATCATGTGTTAAAAAATGTACAAAAATAAATATACGAACACATTCACAAGAATAAAAATCAAAAAAAAATTTCAGAGAAAAATTTTTGGGGGGAGAGGAAAGAGGAAAACGGGGAGATAGCAACTCAGAAAAAATTTAACAAAAAATAAAATTTAATTTTTAATATTGGGACGATCAATCAAAATTTAAACATTTTTTAAATTTAAGATAAATTAAATAAAAATACAAAAATTATATTTGCCAACCGGAAGGTTTTTCTATTAAATTTTAAAAAATTGTTGAGGCAGCCTAGGTCAAATACCTATACATTAACATTTTAAAAATTATTTGGGGGTTGTATAGTAATTTAAATTATAAAAAAAAAATTAAGTTCAAAATTAAAATTAAAGAAAATAATGATTAAAAGTAGAGTGAACGATTTTCGTACCATACCGTTTTCCGTTTTACGTACCGACAAATACCGAAAATATGGCCGTAGTACGATACGTTCCGATCTCTAGTTGAAAGTGTCCGACTGTCAGAAAAATTTAAAAAAAAAATTTCTTTATTTTTTTTTAATTTTTAAAGTAAAATGAGTCAAAAAAATTAATTATCAATCAGTTTTTACATTTTTTAAAAATCGCTAGCAGGTGGAAAAATATTTTTTTTTATTTTGCTGACAGCCGATGGTCTCCGATAGAAATAAAACCTCTTTTATTTCTCTAAAATTTAAAAACAACGTTGTTTTTTTTGGATGATGGCCAAGAGTTGTAGAAAAGAGAGGGGGACTGAGTAAATGAGAGAGAGAAACAGGGACTTTGACTGATATTTTTATTTTTTTTTGCTAGAGAAAAGCAAGACCATCGGAGGGGGGGGGAGGAGTCTTGGACACCTCACACACCACAATTTCTTTTTTTTAATTTTTTTAACAAAAAAAAAACTCGTCAGCCGATAAGCCGATAGTTTATTTGAAAGGTCTTGAATGGTCTCTCTCTCTCCCTTCCTTTCTTCCTCTCTCGGGTGGTCAACAAAAATAAGTGTGAACCAAAAATGGTCTTCTTTAAATCCTTTAAGAGGCCTTCCAAAGACTCCTCCCTCTCTTCTAAATTAATTTTTTAATTAATTAAAATAATTTTTAATAATTTCATAAACGCCTCCAAAAACACCCCCGCTCCACCTCCTTTTTAATTTAAACTCAAATAATAAACTTGCTTCCTCCTCCAAACCCTCCCATCTACATTCCCCTCTTCCCTCCCACTCTTGTTCTTTCCAGAGCTTCTTCCAACGCTTCTTTCCCTTCATTTTTTAATTTTAAAAACAAAGAAACAAAAAATAAAAAGTAAACAATAAAAATTATAGACATTTTATCTTAGTGAGTTGGGTATTAGTCAAGGAAAAAGCAAGTAAGGATGTCCACAAAGGAGGAAGTTTTGTATAAATATAAGCTCTCTTTTGCTAATTTTTTTACGAAAAATTATATAGAAGAAGAAAGGTTCTTTTAAAGTTAAAAAATGAGGAACGGAGGAACAAAAAAAATTTTTTTTGTTTAAAAGCTGGCTGCAAGAAAGCGAGGAAGAGCAACCGAGAAAGAGGAGGATGATTTTGCAAAGCGAATAGGGGACAAATAAAAATTGGCAAACAAAAAATCCTCGTCATTTATCAAAATATTCTCGTTGAAAAGAAAAGTCTGGAGGAGGGTCTGTAGGAGATGGCCAAGGAATAAAAGAAGAGGAGGGGAAAGAAAAAAATTTTTTTCTGGAAAAATACAAAAACAAACACACACAAAAATACACGTTTAGAAAAAAAATAGGAGGTGGCGGGGGAGGAGAGAAAATAAAAATTAAATAAAAGTTGGTCAGTTTGAGAGACTCTAAAATATAAAAAAATTATAAAAAAATTTAATAAAATATAAAAAATTTTTTAATATGGCCAAAAATATTATTTAAATAATAATTATATACAATTTTTAATGTTTAAACAACTGTAAAATAAAAAAAAATTTATTTTACGAAAATTTTGTGATGATTAACGCCTATATTTTTACTGTGTTTCGTTTGTTCCAATAATTATAGTAATGTTGAAAATGTTGCAAGTTTTATTCAATGTTTTAGTAAACAAAGGAAAATACAAAACAAAGTTTTAAAAACATGTGTTTTTTTGTGTTTTGGTAAAATATGTGTTTTTGTGTTTTAGTAAAGTTTGTTTTAGTTGTGTTTTAGTTTTGTGTTTGTTTGTTTAAATTATTTATTTTAGACAATAAAAACAATGTTTGAAACATGTTTTGTTCGTTTCAAACTGAAAAAGTAAATATAGGAAAATACAAAACAAAGTTTTAGAAACAATGTTTTTGTGTTTTAGTAAAACATATGTTTTTGTGTTTTTATTAAAACAAGTTTTGTGTTTGTTTGTTTAAACTATTTAATGTTTGAGATAATAAAAACAAAGTTTGAAACAAATGTTTTGTTCGTTTCAAAATGGAAAAAACATATGGTTAAGAAGAACATTTGTTCTTAAGAAAACATGTTTAATAACAAATGTTTTGTTTATAAATGTTTTGTTTGTTTCAAAAAATGTTTCAACAAACATTAAACAAAACAATGTTTTTAAAATTAAAAAGTAGTGTTTGTCGTGCGCCAATACTATAAACAAAACGCAAAATGAATATTTTAAATAATATGTTGCTATTAAAAATTTGTAAATAGTTGAAGGAATTTTTAATTGAAAAAAATAAAAATTTAATAGGTTTACAAGAAGGTGTTGAGATCTCGCAACAGCAACATAATATAAATTAAAATAAAATTTTTTAAAAACATTTATAGTGAAGAAAATGTAGAAAATATTCAAGATTTATTTAAATAAAAATAAAAAAAGCTAAAAAATAAAAATAAAAAAATAATAATTTTTTTCTCAAGAATGATGTGTTTGTGTCCTCTCATTTTTGTAAAATAAACAAAAAAAATATTATTTTATCTCTCTACAAAAATTTTTTTTCAAGCAAACAAGAAAAAAGTACAAAAAGTCAAAATAAATGCCATATAACAAAAAAAAAATCTCTCAAAAAGTAAAACAGTACATAAAATGACATACAAAAATGACAAAATCCCTTGTGCACTTTGCTTGCTTCAAAAAAAATTTTTTTTAAGAGAGAGGAGAGATTTGTCTTGAATATATACTTTTGTACACAATTATAAAATAACCGGTCCTGATATTTTTTGTATACTTTTTTTGTTAATTTTATTATGTGAATATTTATGTGTTTAACGTTTTGTGCATCTATGTAACTCTCGCAAAAAAATAAAAAAATAAAAATACAACAATTGAGAAAAGGAGGGGGATCACGTAGCCAATAGCCCCCCCCCCTCCTCGTCCCTTTCCTCCCTCTCCCTTCCTTCCCCTCTCTCCCTTCCTCCCTCTCCCTTCCTAGTCCCTTCCCCTCCCTCCACCTCCCCCCTCCTTCTTCCTTGTCCCTTCCATTCTCTTTATTCTAGTACACTTTTTGACTCTTTTTTAAAATCCTTTTTGTATTTTACCTAAATTTTTTCCGAGTTCTTTACTTTATTCTTTTTTTTTAATTCCAGTTTTTTATTTTACCTCCAAAAACAAAAAATTTTTCAACTCAGAATTATGTTTGAAGAGCCTGTCCCTCCTCTCATTTTAGAGAAAAGAGAGAGAGAGAATTACCTAGTTACGGTAAGAGAATTTTAAACGATTAAAGGGAGGTTTCTAAAATGAGGAACCGAGATCCCTAAAACCGATCCTGAACGAAAAAGAGGCAGGGATCTGGCTCGAATGGGGTTTAACAAAAAAATAAAAAAGTTTATTTTTTTGGTAAGTTGTGGAGCTGCTTAATTTTAATATTTTAATAAGCAGAAAAAAATTTTAAAATTAATTACTATATAATTTTAGTATTTGTTCTAGCAGGTATACATATTATACTCAAAAAAAATTTTTTTCTAGTCCATACAAATTTTTTTTATTTTTTCCCTTCCTTCCTTCCCTAAGAGAGAGATCAGCGTTTCTGAATCGGATGAAGTATAAAAATTTTAGAAAAAAAAATAAAAACAAAAAGACAAAAAGTCAGTAAATATTACGAGAATTATGCAATGGACATGGTGAACAGAAATATGAGTATTTTTTAGTTAGTTTTGAAAAAAACTGGAAAAATAAAATAATGGACAAATTGGAGAGAGGGGATGGAATAATGTAACATTTTTAAGTAGTCTATACAATTTTGTAAAATAAAAAAAGTTAAAAAATTTGACTGAAAATTTTTGTTTAAAATGAGAAAAACGGCCAATAAACCATTAAAAAATTTTTTTAGAAAAAATTTTAAAAACGTATTTAAAATTGCCATGGATAGATACAGGAAAAAGACACGAAATTCTAATTTGGTTTTGTCTATGTTATTCAGAAAGGAGTAAGGGTTAGGGTTCCAATTAGTCCCTGAGACATGGAATTTTTGACCTGAAACCGAGGAAAAATTTAAAACTAGACCAGAAACACGACCCAATATTTTTAAAGACGCGTCCCTGTCTGGCCTAGATTTTTCGAATAACTAAAAAAAATCAAAAAACCTATAAGAAATACCTTGAAAAATTTTTCCGAGAACCAATTAAAAATAAAAAAAAAATAAGGGAAAAACAAAGCTGGGAAAGGGGTACTTAATTTTTAAACTGAAATAATAAATTATAAGCAAAATTCTAGAGAAATTTAAACAAACAAACTTGAAAAAAATATGACCTACTTTAAAGAAAAACAAAGAGAATTAATGAACAGATTAAAAAAATTTTTTTTTTGAAAAAATATAGCCTGAGGGGAAATAGACAATAATGTCTCCAATTTAAAAAATAAAATTTTAAAAATTATTTTCTTGCCTCAGAAAAATTAAAAAAAAATTTTTTTGCTTCAGAAAAATTTTAAAATTTTTCAGAATTTTTTCTGCCTCGAAAAAAAATTTTTTTAATAAAGCAAAGTGTTGTCCGTCTAAAAATGAGCAAAATTCTTTTCTTTCAATTCTCATTTTTTGATTGAAAAAATGTTTTAAAAAATAATAAATTTTGTCTAGAGACAATTTTTAATACTTTTATGAGCCAAACAAATATTTTTTTATTTATTTAATATATATTTTTACGTTTTGTCATTTTTTTTCTAATAATTATTTCCTGAATTTTTTGACTGCTTTTTGGCCTGTTACAAACATTTATTATAAAAGAGGAGAGATAAAAAACAAACAAAACTAGTTAAACAGTTAAAAACACAAAACAAACAATTTTACAAAAGAAAAAAATAATGAAGAAATAAACAAACATAAAAACATGTACAAAAATTTAAGAACAAAAACATTAAAAGAAAAATATTTAAAATACAAAAACAAACAAGAAAATATAAGAAAAACTTAAAAACATGAGAAAAAGGAAAAACAAGAAAAACATATAAGTGAGGGAGAAAAACACGAACAAAATATACAAAAACATCTAAAAACAATTAAAGTTTAGATTGAGAAAAACATCAAGAAAACACAAAGAAAAACATCAAGAAAAACATCAAAAGAAATTTAAAAACGAGAGGAAGAAACAAACAAAACATGTAAAAAATTGTTTGGAAAACATGTTTATAAATGTTTAGAAAATAGTTTTATAAAAACAAATAAAATGTGAAATGAACAATAAAAACTTGACAAACACTGAATGTTTTTATTAAGAAAAACATGTTTGAAAAATTACGTAAACAGTTTAAAAGAATGTTTGTCAAAATAAGAATAAAAGTAATAAAAACAGTGAGAGGGGAAGGGAGTTTAAGGCGTAAAAAAATTTTAAATTAAATTTTTTAAATTTTTCTTTAAAAATTTTTTAATTAAAAAATTTTCGGAATTTTTTAAATTAATTAAAATTCTTTCTAAAATTAATTTTAGAGATGTTTGAAGATTAAAATGAAATTTTTTCGTCCAAAAAAGACTGGAATAATACCAAAAACGATTTTTAAAAATTCATCAAAATTTTAAAAATAATTATTTTTTGGTCTGATTTAATTGTAAAATTAATTTTAAAAATTAAAAAAATATTCAGAAAATTTTTAAAAATTTTTTTAATGTAAATTTTAACAAGTGACACCTAAAAATTAATACACAAAATGTATTAAATTCCTCAAATAAAAAATTAGTTTGGTAAAAATTGTCAAATTTTCCATTTTTAAAATATAAAATATAAAGAATTAAATAAAGTATTTAATAAAATAAAATTAAAAAAAAAGATTTGCATAAAATTGATGATTTTTGTTAAAATTAAATATATTTCATCATCATATATGCTGTCAAAAATTGTTAAAATAAAATTTTATAAAATTATTGTAAAAATTATTTAAAATGCTAGAAAATTGAGGAAAACATCCATACAAAAAAAACATCCATACAAACACAACACATAAAACAACTAATTTTTTATTTTTTTAAATTTTAATTAAATTGACATTATTTTATTTTTAAATAAAAAACACGTGAAAAAATACCACAAAAAATTTTAAAATAATTTAAAAAAAAGTTTGAAGACATATGATTTTATGTCATTTGCTCTTTGAAAAATTTTTTATTACAAAATTTTTTACATTTTTTAATTAAAAAAATTAATTATAATCTATTAAAAAGATAATATTAAAAATAAAAAATTTAATTTTTAAAATTATATATAATTAAATTAAAAATTAGTTGGAAGTCCAAAAGGACCAGATAATAAGGAAGAAACATGGGCTGATAAAAACATTGTAATTAGTTTGAAATTAAATAAACGTTAAATACAAATAAATAAACTTGACTAAAACAAATAAACTTGAATTAAAAGAAATAAACTTGTTCAGATCAAAACAAACTTGTTTTAATTAAATAAAACTTGTTTAAAATAAAATAAACTTGTTTAATTTATAAAAACTTTTTTAAATAAAAACGAACTTGTTTTAGTTAAAATAAACTTTAATTAAAACAAAATAAACTTGTTCAGATCAAAACAAACATGTTTTAATTAAATCGAATTTGTTTAAAATAAAATAAACTTGTTTAGCTTATAAAAACTTGTTTGAATAAAAACCAACTTGTTTTTATTAAAATAAACTTTAATTAAAACAAAATAAACTTGTTTTAATTAAACCAAACAAAACAAACAAATATAGGAGGCTATTTAAGTATCCCTAGAATTTTAAATAAAATTAATTTGAATTAATCAAATATTTATAGACTACTACTATAAAATAAAAAAAATAAATTTAAAAATGTGTAAAAAAATTTAAAAAGCCAAACAAGTGAATAATTTAAAAAAGCAGAAAATAATTTAAAATAAAAAAAGAAAAGAGAAGGGGGGTGTTAAAATGTGTTTACTACATTTTTAAACTTTAAAAACATTTAAAGTTTAAAAATAGCAAAAATCAATATTTAAAAACAATTTTTCTTTTTTTTATTATTAAATTGTATCAAAAAATATAGCCAATTGTTGAAATAAATATATTGTTGGAATAAATAAAACTTGGTGAAATTAAATATAAACTTTATGAATAAACAAACTTTGTTTAAATAGTAAAATAAAAATAAACTTGAATTAAAATAAATTAAAAAAAATAAAACTTAGATTAAACAAAATAAACTTGTCTAAATAAATAAATAAACTTGTTTAGATTAAAATAAACTTGTTGAGATAATAATAAACTTTGTTTGGAACAAAAATAAAACTTGAATTAAATATTACCTAAACAAAACTTGTTCAAGTTGGAAAAAACAAATAAACTTGAAATAGAACATTAGCTAAAACTTGAAATAAAACAAAATCTCCTTCACGGGTAGAGGAGATTTTGTATTAAACTTGTTTTAATACAAAATAAACTTGAATCAAAACAAAATAAACTTTGTTCAAATAATATAAAAACAAGTTGGTATAATTGTTCAGTATAAACGCCCCATATATTCGCAGAAGAAAAGAATTATTTGAAAATATCATTAAAATATTATTTTTTCACTAAACTATCGACCATAAATTTATTTAATAAAATTTAAAAAAATGCAAAAATTGGAGCATCTCTCAATGCAAAAATTATTATTTTTTAAATTATTTAATGGAAGAAAATAAAAATTTCAGGGGAAAAAATGTAAGAGAGGACACTTTAAAAAATAGATTTACATATTTTTGTAGAAATTTATTATAGTGAAATTTGATTTTTTATTAATAAAATTGACAGAAAAATAGAATTTTTTAGTTAAAAATTAAAAAAAATATTTTAAAAATTTTTTGGAAGGTATTTAAGAATATTATTACAAAACTGATTAAAATGACTGATAAATAGTTGATAAATTTAGTAGGCTAATTAAATTAGTTGATAAATATATAGAGTTGTTTCACGTTTAATGGAGGACTTGAGGGAAAATTTTAAAGGGAAAGCGTCATGGAGAACGAGGAAAAAAAATTTCTGAAGCCATGGAGGAGGAGTAATGAAGTCGAGGAATAATCCTAGTGATAGTCGAGAATATATGAAAAATATTTTAAAAATTATTTTGGTAAAAAAAATTTTTTTTAATAATTCTGATTAAGAAATATTACCTTAAAAATTAATTTTTACTTAAAAATAGAGTAAATTTATTTTTAAAAAATACAAAAATAAAAGAGAAAAACCGCAAAAGGGCAAAAAAGCCAAGCAATGAATGCAAAATTTATATAAAAAATTTTTATTACTTAAAAACAATTTATTTTCTATAAAAATGTAAAAATGGCGCCATTTTTCCCCTAATATTTAAATAAAAATGCCAAAGCGATTTTGAGATGCTTTAAAAAAATTTTTAAAGGGGAGAATATTACATAAAAGGAAAAATAAATATAAATGTTTGACATCTTAATTAAAACTTGTTTTAAATAAACTTGAATTAAAACAAGTTTTTAAACTTGGAAAATAAACTTGTTTTAAAAAGTACTCAAACTTGTTTTAAATAAAACATTAAAATAAACTTGGAAATAAATCTTGAATTAAAACATGTTTTTAAGTTTATAAACATGTTTTTAGGTTATAAACTTGTTTTAAAGTTTATTTAAAACAAGTTTTAAAAAATTTAAGAGTGTGAATATTTTACAAAGGTATACTTTAATGTAAATAACAACCCAGTTAAGTCTAAACCTTATATCTCGCGAATAAATGGACCTTTCCAGATAATTTTGGTATCGTTGGATAGAGGAGAAAATTAGCTACAAAATGGAAGTTAACTCAAAAATTTAATCTTCTAATTGAAAAAGTTATGAGGGAAAAACTAACTTCAATCGGGCAAAAAAGGGCTTATTTTTTCAAAAAAAAAAAAAAAAATTTCAAAAAATTTCTCATTTTTAAAATTTTGTAGAAAATTTATTTCTCTATCCAACGATAAACAAGAAATAAAAATAAAATTAATTTTTAAATTAAAAAATCCCCACCGAAAAACAAAATAAGCAAAGAAAGCAAGCAAGCACACTTTCCTCCAACCAACTTTACTTTTGTTTAATTGTTGTTGTTGAAATTTGAAAAAATAATTTAAATTTTCACTGAAAGAGCAAGTAG